TCTAATTTCCTACGTCATTAATGACGTACGAAACGATCAATCGTAACAAATGCTACGACTTGTCAAAAGTAAGCCGTTCAAAATTAGTATTTCGAAAATTCTGATAATATGCTAACTTTAAAAAAATTTCAACGATCGTACGCTAATCGAATCTACAAATTGCTTATGTAATCTCAAAACTTATTTCAAGAACTACGTTATATGCATATCAAATAATTCAAACATATATCGAAAATAGTTAAAAATGCGTTAAAACGTGAGTTTTAAAGAAAGACATTTTAACTCGCATTTTATTTAAAGAAAGACGTTTATATGAAATATCACATAAAAAAATTTCGAAACTTTACATATGAAAAAATTAAATCCCATGTAAATTTTCGAATGCAAAATTACACAAGGTATGATTTTTTTGGACGTAAATTTTCGATTGTAAAATTTCTCCCAATTTCTTTACAATTTCGATTGTTTCCCCTAACTTTTAAGTTCTGCGTTCGCCCCTGCGTGTCAGAATCATGTGCATCAAATATTCGACACTTCATGCGTAATAAAAGAGGATGTTATTATACAATACAATATAATAATTACTATTATAGAATATAATTTGGTGAGACTTTGAATATTGAAAAAGAGTGGCATACGGAGAATTTTTAAAATAAAAACACCCAAAAACTCGAGTTTATATAGAAAAAGAGCAATAAAATATATTACATTTCTATTGGGCATTTACATGCACATGTATTTTTATATCCTTCTTGAGAGTTTTATCTTTAATTTTTATTTTCTGAATATACAAGTGTATTTATTTATTTACAAACTGCCACTCAGAAGTCTCCTTCCATTGTTTTTCCTCATGCTGCAACTTGAGCAGCAGCCAGCCTAGCAATTGGAACCCTGTTGAGAAAACCATATAGATAAATCTATATATATAATGGCATGTTCGATAAGGAAAAATAAATCCGACAATTTCAAGAAAATAAACTATATTTTGTTTACTACTATCATTACATACTTAAACATGTCCTAATAGCATATATGGTAAGACGTATAGTGAAAGGTATTGGACAATATTTAAAAAGAAAAGAAGTTAAAATTTTGTTTGTTATATTGTGCAGCTCTGTTTAATACTGAATACCAAATGTGTATCGTATTATTGAATGTAGAATCACAAATAAAATCCCGGAATAGCTAAAGGAACTAAACCACTCATTAATAAAATTTCCACGGGTTACGTGTTTGACGAGAAACTAAGTTCAATCTATGAACATGTCAAAGATAGGTATGAACAAATAATTGTTTTTTATATCACGTGTTAAGCTTTTCAAATGGAGTGTTCATTTGATATGGTATCAGAACATGCAAAAATCTTGATTGAACTTTCACTATCACAATTTATGAATTTCACGTGCCAAACTTTAAAAAAAATAAAATCAATTTTCACATGACGGGGTGTGTTGAAAATATAATTACAAATAAATAAATTATCTAAGAGATCTTTGCATGAGAGCTTGTGTGTGAGATATACCAATTACTGATCAATGTTTTACCTGAATGGAGAGCATGAAACATAGTCCAGTCCAGCCTCTGCAAAGAAGGCGACAGAAGAAGGCTCCCCACCATGCTCTCCACAAATTCCAACCTGCCATTTACCAAACCAGTGCAGCATGTATGGTGCGTGTTCAGTAAACAATAGTACCCAATACTCAACACTATAATGACCAATATTTTAGAGAAAACTCGTTTTGCAAATGTTTTACTACCCTACTGATATATCAATAATTCATGCATTTGACACAGTATATCATGATGATAGTCACCTTCAGGCTCGGCCTAGCTGCACGACCTTTTTCTGTGGCTAACTTGATGAGTTGACCAACACCTTTCTGATCGAGTACCTGGACAAGACACCGATCATTAATTCATTATACAATCTTTTCCCAATAGGTTTCCATGATACCACAGAACTGACGACTAACCTCAAAAGGATCATTTTGGAGAATTCCCTTAGACAAGTATATTGGAAGAAACTTGCCAACGTCGTCTCTACTGTACCCAAATGTCATCTGAGTGAGATCGTTTGTCCCAAATGAGAAGAATTCGGCTTCCTTTGCAATCTACCAACAATCATCAAAGAACAAAACCCATGAACGAAATGTTCATAACGAGGACATGTCATGTCTTACGTTAAATTGCAAACTATGAAACGAAAAAAAATATTAATAATAAATTCCGGCATCGTTCTTAATTGAAAGAATGTATAGTGATATAAATAATCCCCAAATTATATCCACATTACCTCATCTGCAACCAAAGCGGCTCGAGGAATTTCTATCATGGTGCCCACCTTATAGCTCAATGAGGTTCCCATCTCAGAGAACACTTTATTTGCAACGCCACGAATTAAACTCGCCTGATGACTGAGTTCCTGCCACCATTGATACAGTATGTATAAGTTACTGGACTAGCTACCAACTTTCAAGGTCACGACTGTTGTAAATATTTGTTATTCTAGATATTTTTTTTGTAAGACCATATTTTTTATTAATGATTACTACAACACAGATTAAAAAATGAAATGACATGCCTGAGGCGTTCCAATTAGAGGAACCATTATCTCTGGAAGGACGGTAATGCCCTGGTTGGTCATAGAGATGGCAGCTTGAAATATTGCACGAACCTGCATTTCTGACAATTCAGGATATGATATTCCTAGCCTGTCGAAATTTAATAAAAACATGAAATGAGATTTAATTCTGGACATATTTGTATTATAAAGAAAATTCAAGTATACTAGGAAATATACAAAACATTATCCTAGTTGCTGCTAACAACAGCAAGTGTCAGATGCATACATGATAGTTATTCGAGTAAAACCATGATGATAAAAGGAAATGTAGATTCATAAAATAGTCTGTTGATAAAAAGCAAACCCTCAAGTGTGTATCTGTTCTTGTGATGTGAATTATACAAAATATATTGCAATAGAGTCATCATACTGCAAGTTTCATATATAAGATGAACAAAAAGTATCAGACCTGCATCCTCGAAATCCAAGCATGGGATTTACTTCTGATAATTTCTCAATCCTCGAGTAAATTTCATCTTCGTTCATGCCCGTGTCAGCGGTTAGTTCACCAACAATCTGTTCTAGGTCACCTTCTGGTAGAAATTCATGAAGTGGAGGATCCAAAAGTCTGATTGTCACAGGAAGACCTGAAAATTTAAAGAACATAAATTTAGGGATTCAGTATTTGCCAATTCAGGTGATTATCTTGGAGCATGCTTGGTACATAGCACTGAATATGATTAGACTTTATTATAAACAAATGTAAAATCCACCTTACCCAGTGAGGTACAAATGTTACTTTATTTCTTCCGTCTGTCTATGACACCTTACTTTTAGATTTTTTCCCATTTTACAATAAACAAGAATAATGCTATTCGTAAGCACTACTGATGGACAACAGTCTATGCATTAGTGGGGTCACTACCACATCCTCAGATGAAGTTGGGGTGGGGTAATGATCCCACTATCACATAGACTATTGTTCATCAG